TCTATAAATGTCTGTGAGGTCCATTTGATTCATGACCTCTGTCAGAGATATTGTTTCTTTGTTTAATTTCTGTTTTGTTGACCTTTGTTGTCCTTTGTTGAGAGTGGAGTGTTGAAGTCTCCCACTATTAATGTGTGGGGATCTATATGTGGTTTAAATTTTATCAATGTTTCTTTTACAAATGTGGGTGCTCTTGTATTTGGGGCATAGATGTTCAGGATTGTGATGTCTTCCTGGTGGAATTTTCCCTTGATGAGTATGAAGTGTCCTTCCCCATCTCTTTTTATTAATTTTGGTTGAAAGTCTATTTTATCAGATATTAGAAGGGCTACTCCTGCTTGTTTCTTGGGTCCATTTGCTTGGAAAGTCGTCTTCCAACCTTTCACCCTCAGGTAATGTCTATCTTTGTGCCTTAGGTGTGTTTCTTGTATGCAACAGATTGCTGGGTTTTGTTTACGTATCCACTCTGTTAATCTTTTTTACTGTTAATCTTTTACTGTGTCTTTTTACTGGAGAGTTGAGTCCATTGATGTTGAGAGAGATTAATGACCAGTGGCTGTTAGATCCTTTGATTTTGATGTTGGCTGTGTTCATAAGGTTGTATGCTTGGTTGCTTTTTGTTTCAGTGTAGTAAGGTTAATTATTTCCTGTGTTTTCTTGACAGAAGCTAACTTTCTTGGGTTGTATTTTCCCTTCCAGTGTCTTCTGTAATGCTGGATTTGTGTGTAGGTATTGTTGAAATTTGTTTTTGTCATTGAATATCTTGTTTTCTCCGTCTATGAGGACTGAGAGTTTTGCAGGGTATGGTAGCCTGGGCTGACATCTGTGTTCTCTTAGGGTCTGCATGATATCTGTCCAGGCCCTTCTGGCTTTCATAGTTTCTGTTGAAAAGTCAGGTGTGATTCTAATGGGTTTGCCATTATATGTTACTTGGCCTTTTTCCCTTGCAGCTTTTAGTATTTTTTCTTTGTTCTGTATACTTACTGTTCTGATTATTATGTGGCGGGAGGATTTTCTTTTCTGGTCAAATTTGTTGGGTGTTCTGTAGGCCTCATGTATCCTTATTGGCTTCTCCTTTAACTTGGGAAATTTTCTTCAATGATTTTGTTGAAAATATTTTCTGGGCCTTGGAGAAGGGAGTCTTCTTTTTCCCCTATTCCTATTATTCTTAGGTTTTGTCTTTTCATATTGTCTTGGATTTCTTGGACGGTCTGTGTCAGGAATTTTTTGGATTTAACATTTTCTTTGACAGATACATTGATTTCTTCCATTGTATCTTCTACACCTGAGATTCTTTCTTCCATTTCTTGTAGTCTGTTGGTTATGCTTACCTCTGTAGTTCCTGTTTTCTTCCCTAAATTCTTCCTCTCCATTATTTCCTCCATTTGTGTTTTCTTTAATTTTTCTAGTTCTATCTTCAGGTCTTGAGTTGTTTTGTTTACTTCCTTCACCTGTCTGCTTGTATTTTCCTCTTTTTCTTTTAGTTCCTTCAACTCTGTCTCTTTTATTTCTTTCAGTGATTTAATTATTTCTTCTCTGAAGGCCACAAGCTGTTTGGCTGCATCTTCCCTTATTTCTTCACGGATGGCCATAATCTGCTTGTCTTTAACTTCCTCCATTTCTTTACGGATTGCCATGATCTGTTTGGTTTTATCTTCCTCTAATTCTTTACGTATTTTATTTGTTTCCTCTATTATCCTCTTCATCAGCATAGATGTAAGGTCATCTTGATTTTCTATTATGCTGCGTTGTCCAGGGCTGTTCGCCCCTGGATGGCTGGGTTCTGGAGATGCCATATTGCTCTGTCATTTGTTGGTTGAGCTTTTACGCTGGCCTCTACCCATTGGGCTGATTTAGATGTTGGCTGTTAGTTTCTGTGCTTCCTGGAGTCCTGTGGTAGGGAGAATCCCCTTGTCTGGAAGATGATTTTTCCTGAAGGAGTCCTTCTCTGCTTTTTGGTTATGGTCACTGTATGGCCAGTGTTTCTCAGGAATTGCCACTGCTCACCTCAGGTTTATAGCCCTGAGTAGTAGCTGTGGTCTATGTTAGGCAGGGGGGGATCTCCTCTTACCCATAAAAGTTCTCAAGACAGCTGCCCCACTGCTGGGTTTCTTATTATAAATTTAGTTTGCTGCTGCTCACTAAATTTCCAGGTACAGTCCTCTTGAAGAACCTGCTGATTCCCTAGCTGTGGGGTTTTCTCCCAACAGGGAAACTCAGTCTGTTATTCTGGGGCGCACAGTTCTGTCTGGGAAAGTGAGAGGTGCACTCAGCAAGTCTCTGGGCCAGAGGCTGAGTGCTCCGCTTTGGGCCTGGAGGATGTGCACCTAGGTTGAGTTGGCGCCTGGGGGCGCTGCTCTGGTCTGGAGGCTGGGAGCCTCACTCTGGACCAGAAGCTGTGTGTCCCTGTCTGTGATGGAGGCTGAAGGCACTACTCTGGTCCAGACGCTGTGGGTGCAGCCCTCTTGAAGGACCAGGGATTCCCACAGTTTTGACAGTCTAGCTAGGGATAACTGGTTGATCCTTGGCACAGTATCTGAGGGCTGCTATAATGGCTCTCTGGTTTTTGTAGGTCTGAGGATGCAGCTGTGTGTCCCAGTGCCCTAGGGGAACTCAATAATGGCAGCTGAGCACAGCGCTCCTGCCTGCATTAGAGCCTAGAGTCTGCGTGAATCCAGGGAGTCTTTTGGTGCTGGGTGACCTAAGCGTTAGAGCTGATGATCCCCTCCGCTGGGGGTTTCCTCCTGCCAGAGACACCCAGTCTTTGCTTTGGGGACCGCTCTTCTGTCTGGGGTGGCGAGTAGAACCCACAGGCACAGATGTCCGCTTGTGGCTCCGCCTTTCTGGCCATTCGGAGCCTTGGCTGCTGCCTAAACTGAGTAATTTTCCCTAGACCGTTTCGGGGTGGGTGTCAGCTGAGTGCTCTGAGATCAGACCAGCCGTTTCCCTCCCTGTGGGTTTGCACCTGCCAGTGAAACGCAGTCTCTGGTGCCTGGTGCCCTGGTGCCCACAGTTCTATCTGAGGTGGTGAATCAGGTGCGCAGGCAGGGCTTCGTGCAGGCGCCTGGGTCCCAGCTCTGGCTCCAGGCTGGCTCTTGGGGCACCCGCGGAACCCGAGTCTTTTCCAGGGGATGTCTGGGTGACCTAAGGTCGGTCCCAATTGTTTCCTGCTCCGTGGGGTTATCTCTCGACTGGGAAATCCAGTCTATGGTGTTATGGGCCCACAGTTCAGTCTGGCACCGTGACCAGATCGCGCTGGCGTATAGCTCTGGGCTGGCAACCAAGCGCCTGGCAGGACCAGGATCTCTTCCACGGTTTAGCCAGGTGAGTTAAAGCTGATTGAATCCCTCACCGTGGGGTATCCTCTCACCTGTGAAACACAATCACTTGTGTTTTATGGCCACGAGTTCTGATTGCTGGTCACTGTGCCAATCCTGCTGTGCTGCTCCTCCGAATGAGAGTCCTCCCGGCGCCGCCATCTTGCCCCCAAACGTGGTTGGTTAATAAAAAAAAAAAATGCTAAAGCTTGGGCAGGTCAGAAGTGGGATGGGGAGCTAAGGTTCTCAGGCTTTTGAGGGGGGAAAGGGCACAGGAAGGAGAGAGAGTGAAGTGCAGGAGGAGGAGAAGGAAGCAGAGTGTCCATGGGAGAGGTAAAGAACCTCCCAGGCTGGAGTGGAAATGGCAGGGAGAGCGGTGGCCCAGATGGAAAGCATGCACAAATATTGATGGAATATTGGAGGGGAAGTAGCCCATACAGGAATGATTAGAGCAAATGGCATGGGATGTGGGGCTGAGAGGTAACAAGGTATATTAGAGGGTACTATCTGCCCAGCTCCAGGTAAAACAAGGCTTATTTAAATACAACAGGTGTCTGTGTCTTTTATTGATATGGTAGAGGGTTAACAATTGCCATAATAATTATTTAATAACTATTAAATAATCCAGAAATGTTTAATATTTAATATTATTTCCTAAATAATAAAATATTATTTAAATAAAACTTCATTAGCAATTTTTATTTACTACAACAGGTCTGAGGACTTGGCCCTTGTCATGATGGCATCCATGTCAGCAGTGCATATTCACTCAGGACCTTGCTCTCTTGGGTTCCCCTGCTCTCTACAGCATCCTGGCTTCAGGGGCCTGTTCGACTCTTTGAACAAGGTGCCTTCCAACTACAACCAAGTCACTTTTCTCTTTTCTTTTTTAAATTTATTTTTTGACAAGTGTGTGTGCGTGTGTGTGTGTGTGTGTGTGTGTGTGTGTACACATACATATGTTCTCCATATTATTATTCCTACAACATGGGGTATCAATTTCTGGTTTCTCCTGAGATAGGACTCATCGCTCAATTAAACTCGATTCACTGATGACAATATGGCTTCCATATGCTTAGGACGTCTAGGGAGGTTCCCCCCCAATGGATTAAAGCCAGCACTCTGCCCCTTCCTGCAGATGTTCTCTCTGCTCATTCCCCATGTGAGAGGACCATCTCCTGGCGTACAGATCCAGGTCTTGGGGAGCCAGGGCACATCCAAGAGCATCTCTGACCTTGCACAGCAAATGTTGTGCAGAAAATAAAAAACCAGGATCCAGAAACAACACTCACTCCATCCTCCAAAGAGCTACAGAAGGACAGGAGGAGTGGTAAGTGCAGAACCACATGGAACCAAGATGGCCAGTTAGTGAGTCTTCAAGGAAGAGCTGGAGAGAGAAGGAAGAGGCTTCCGTCCCCCCAGAACAGGACCTGGGCTGCCAACACCTCCCGGACATCTCCTTGATGCCCACTCTTCAGCCTTATCCTGTGAGCCAGAATACTTCAGAATCCTGGAAGGGAAGCCATGGCCACTCTTGTCCATGGTGGGAAGAGCTGAGCATTGCAGAGCTAACAGTCCAGCTCACTTGTGCTATCCCTCCTCAGGACAGTCTCCTCTTCCCTGACTGGGTCTGCCAGGGCTCCACACCTCACTGCTTTTCTAGTTCAAAGAACAGGATGCAAGTAATCTTTTCAACTTTATTCTAAAGAAAAGAATCCAAAGAAAGTCATGGCTCCAAGATAAATCAAAATTGGTTTTTTCATCTTTGCCAGATTCTATACCACCAGCAATAACCTCCCCAGCACAGCTGACACAGCCCCTCCCACCTGACAACATGGACAAAGGTGATTTCAAAGTGGGTTCTTTCAATCTTACATGATAGTGTGAATAGCCAGGTCCATGCATAGGGGCCGGAGGTAAAGCACATTCTTATGGATCCTCACAACAGGCCGTGGAGCTCAAAGCCTTGGGAAGCTGCCTAACATAACAGGATATTGCCAACACCTTTGTATCCCTTTCCCTTGGTGAATTCTTTGGCTGTTTCCTCTGGACTTCACTGATCTTGAGTAGTATGAAAGCAGAATTATTTTAATAAGTATAGCGAACAATGTGCCCTCCATCCACCTGACTTCCCCGATTCTGCAAACAAGTACAGACTTCATAGGGCCTGGGCAGGCTTTCCAGAGCCCCAGTAGTATATGGCATCTAATAGAAAGGTGGGCAGGTAGCTCATGGGGAGGTAGAAGAGCTTGGCATCCCAGCCGGCTGAGTACCGGGTGCGAGGGTGACAGGAAGTCAGCGCATGCTCCATGCAATCCGTCACCATAGACAGGTCCTCTGAGCATGTGTTCATCAATAATTTTGATGCTCTCAGATCTGTGTAGGATGAGAAATTATTTGGGTAGATTCTTCATCCTACCACTGCTGCTCTGTGTCCAACTGAAGGAAGTGGCTCTAGAATCCATGTATCCCATACTCGGAAGTCATGCCCAAGCTTAGCATGTCCCACCTTCTCACAAAGGGCCACAACCCAGCTTCTAGGAAGAGCTGTGCACACTCAGCTGTCTGTGTGCCTGTTCAGAGAACTATCTGGCAGAATGACTGGAAGATCTCACCTAGTGGGAGCCCAGAGGAAGTGGTGCCGATGCCCACCCTGCCTTCATGTTCATCAGTAAGATGCTGAGATAAACAGAGCCCCACACTCTGGAATTCAGAACCTCTTTAAGTGACCAGAATACCATGGGCTCCCAAGGATAGGGGACTGAACATCTCCACTATGAGGAAAAATAGCCTGTGGCAGGCCCTGTACCAGCAGCAGAAAATGGTTCCTATAGGTCACTCACAGGAGTCCAGGAATTTCTCCCCGTAGATCTCCTTGACCTCTGAGCTGCTCTGGTCCCACAGCTTCTTCATGATGTGTGATACCCTCTCACTATTGGAAATATTGGTCTTGAAGCCCCCAGGCTCAATGATAGCCACCTTCACCCCAAAATAGGAGAGCTCCCTCCTGTAAGACAACGGGCAAAAGTCAAAGGCATCAGAGGTCTTTTGAGAAAAAATAACACAACTGACAATACAATAGCATGCCAACATAAGCCTGTGGAGATAAAAGTTCAGAAGCTTTTGGGTCTGAGCCGTGCAGCAGATGGGGATGAAACCTGTGGCAGGGAAATTGTCTCTGCGCTTTTGAATGTCGCTCCAAGTGAGCATACATGGCTCTAAATCTAGATCTAGTCATTCTGTTAAACGACACAAGGTCGGACTTCTGTCTGCATTGTGCACGCACAGGGGTTCACTAGGCTTGCCTAAGTCAGCTCCCCCTCACTGCTGGACCCCGCCTGCACCCACTACTGGCTACGGAAGTCTCAGGCTAGTTTTTTCCTGGCTCCTCCAAATGTCTTCAGGGTGCTACTCTGTGTCCTGTCATCCTACGTTTAGAGACCTTGTCCCAGCAGGAAGCCTGACCCAATTTCTTACAGTGATGGTTGATCAGCATGGTATATAGACCTGTCTAGAACCCTCAGATTCTCTAAAAGCTGCCCTGTGAGTGTCTGCCTGGCTCCACTACTGCCAGGTCTGACCTGCCTTTTACTCCAGAATGACATTGTACCCTGCTAATAGTCACGCTGGGTCTGGACATTTTATTACCCAGGAAGTCCATGTAACCAGTCTGCCCTGTTCTCATGTTTAGCCCTTTCCTCAGACCCCTGCTGCAGGGTCCGCCACAAATCTGATGATCAACATGATCACTACTGCTAATAATCTCTCTGTCTTATCCACCCTCTTTCCTTTCTCTCCTCTTTCACTCTCTGGGTTACCCGGGTCTGTGTTGTTGTTGGGTTTTTTTGTTTATTTGTTTATCAGGGTCAGATAAACTTGTCCTGTTAGACTGTGAGGGCTGTGAACTGTGGATGGTGCTAATCCCACCTCCAGGACATTGCTAACCCGAGAAAGAAGGTGGCCAAGTCCAGGGGCACCTCAGACGCTTCCCTGCTGTGGGAGAGGCAGGCCTCCGACAGGACAAGTTTAAGCGACCTCAGGCCTCAGTGACCTAACATAGGTATGGAGAAGGGCTTCCCAACAAATGAGAGAGAGAAGGTAAGAAAGTCCCCCAAATGAGAAAGAAAAGACGGTTCATTAGGGGCTCTCAAAAACTGCAATTAAATAAGACACCCTGCTGAAGGTTTCCCCATAAAACCCCATAACTGTCCAATACCTGAGGGAGTCCGAGAAGGCCTCTACACCATACTTGGAAATGCAGTAGCCACCACCAAAGAGAGACACTCGGCCCATGACACTGGCGACGTTGACCACGCGGCCCCTTGCCTTCCTCACCAAGGGCAGCATGTTCAGAGTCACGTCGATCAGGCCCAACAGGTTCACGTCCAGAACCTTTACAAAGTCCTGTTTGTTCTGCCACTCATTGATAGCAAAGACAGAGATGCCAGCATTATTGACCAGGCCCCAGAGTCCTAGAGACAGTGAGAAGAACAGAGAGCCACACAACACAGGTCAAGTTATGACTAAAATTCACATTCCACTGGGAGGTAAAACCATTCAGACAGGCATTGGGTACAGAGTGGAATACAATTAGCAGTGTGGTATAAGTGGGCTGGGATGGCAGCATGGTACTTCCTTTTCTTTTGATTCTTGACGGCTCGACTCACTGCCTGAGAAGCAACAATCAGCAGCTTCATGTTTGCTAATAGCAAGAACAGAAATCGAAGACATATTATGACTGTTAATCTAGACACCTTGCAGATGAGGGAGCAGAGGAAAATACAAATGGGAAAAGGGGAAGAAAAGACAAAAGGCAAGGCTCATATTCTCATGGCATTTGAGAAACATTAATTAGAGGCTCTGGTTGGAGGAGACTTCGGATAGCCATGCTGCATTTGTGCTTTGAAGAAAGGTGGCCTTGGCAACCATCAATGTTGAATGGTTTATCACACTTACTGTGTTATATTTGAAGAAGACATGAAATTGGAAGGAAAATATGGAAGAAAGGAACTAGAGGGAAAAGTGAGGGTTTGGCTGGGTATAATACAAATACCTGGTGTTTGAAATTACCAAAGAATAAAGAAAAAAAATTTTAATATATTGAGCAATTTTCCTATGGAAGAAAGAAGAGACACTTTTTAAAAAAGTAATAATAATAAACTAAAAGAAAGAAACATGTGCCAGGGATTCCAGTATGCAGCCCCAAGATACATTTAAATGCTTGGAGGTTTGTCAAGGGATGGTCCTACACCACTGAATATAATTTTTTGAAGAAACATTCTTGAGGCAGTAAAATTGATCATTTTTTTTTTAGTGTAAAGAATTTACATATCTTAATCCTATATAGAATCAAAATGTTTACAGGCTTTTTTGTCAGGGTAATGAGAATATAGGTTAATTTTGTTTTAACTTCATAGTCCCCAGTGTTTTGAACAATAATCATATTTTCAATTATTCTTAAATTTCTTTGAATCACTCTTCTTATGTCACTACTAGCAACCCTTTTCCTGTACTTAGTTTCCCAAGTCAGTCCTTAAACTGGCCATGGCCTACTTGTACAATCATGTCTCCCTTCAAAGAGGACTGCAGGTGACAAGTAAGAGCAAGTACGGTGTTGACACAGGAGATTCCCTCCAGCATGGCTCCAGATAACCCTGTACACACAGCCCAGAGCCAAGTCACTAACCCCAATCCCAACCCTACCTCTAACCCAACCCCAAACCTAAACCTAACCCTAACCCCATCCTAACCCCAACCATAACCATAACCTCCAATCCCAACACCAACACCAACACCAAAACCAACCCTAACCCTCACCCCTAACCTCTAACCCTTAAGCTAACTGTAACCCTAACGCTAACCCTCACTCAGCATCCAGCAGTCT